CTGTGTCTGGGTGGGTTTCCTGCAGGTGCTACAGTCTCCCCTGCCACCCAACACTTCCTGCAGGTAGAATCCTCCAGCTGAGGTCCTGACCAAGAACATCAACATTATCAAAGCTGTACTATAGCGACAGGTCCGAACAGGTGACACGGCAAGTTTCCCTCCGGGCACGATGAAGTATGCAATCACCATACATTTGTTATCTCTTTTGGCTGTATTCATGAATTTGTTATTTTTTTTAGGCTGTATTTATCATTGTTATCAGTGAATATTTTTTTTGTGATGACATAGGGTGTCACTGGTAAGAAAGAACTCTAAATGTTTTCTTCTAAAAGTAGCATTTTTGAAATACAATACTTATTTTACCGCTGCAAAAACAAATTGTATTATAATTTCAGACTTGCTTGCTTAACGCTAGAACTCCCAGAACACAGTTTCTGAAGTGTAATTACTCAGCTCATGTAAATGTTTGGTCTTTGCAACTTTTTCTGTTTCTTCATGAAGTTTATTATTTCTATGTCAATATTACTTTTTATGAAATGATCTTTTAATTTTAGTAATAAAAAATAGAGAAGAGCACGCGCTAGTAACCATAGCAACAACTTGCCACCGTTTAGCATTAGCCTTTCAACAAACTGTTTTTTTTGCATTCAAGTTATATTCACCAGTTTTCAAACTTATTAAAAGTATATTACGGTAAGTTGCATCTTTGATTGAAAAACTACAACAGTCCCACATGGTCAAACATCAAAAAATACCAGTGCGGCTCACAATATTCACTGTATGTGGATGATACTTACTGTATATGTGTAAGTGCACCATTTTACATCATAACATTTGACTACTTAACTCTCCAGCCATTTCCTGAGCACCGGCAGTGGAGAGCAAATGAAACAGCAGCCTGGAGCCAGCATATGAGAGAGCTGTGCTGTGATCGGGGCCCCGGGGCCACTACCACCACTACAGCTGCAATCCCCTTCACAAGCCCCTGTCTCAGCCCCTCTCACATTGATTTGATGCATTCATGTGGTAGTTGCGACACTATTAGTTTGTGCCCGCGGGCTGATTTCCCCCCTCTCTGTGTGATGACTTTAGAACAAACCAACCTAAGGCCATTCACTTCATGCCCCATTAAGATTCACCATTTGAAACCGACAAGACCAAAATAGTAGACGGAGTAAAGAGTGCTTTAGAGAGAGCTTCTTTCTACACGCTCGGTGCAATGACGTTAATTAGTGCGTATAGGATGGATCTCAAGCTGTGCAATACACCAGAGGTAAATATGTAAAGTGATGCAATACGCTGCACATAAAAGAAAAAAAGTAGTTGAGGGCTAATTCTGTCTTTTATATATTTGTAAAGCAGAACCGGTTTTCATTTTCGCCTGTCTTTTATGTCACAAATGAGGATGTGTTTTGAGCAATGTTGGTTGTGAAAAAAAAGAAAAAAGCTTCAGAAACGGCTCCTAGAAAGAATAGACTTGTTTTTCGGAAGATGCACATTTTCTCATCTTTGGGCAAAAATAACATTTTCCATCTGCGAATCAATACCACACCACGCTGCCAAAACAAAAAAGCTGAGCAGTCGCTAAAATAATATGGTACAGTGCACAATTTTGGGGAACTAGAGGAGGAGGAAAAATTGGATTTGTCCTCAAGCAAAAATACTGCAACGCACTTTGAAAAGTGTGGTCAAGTTGGCGATGTCCTGTAACTTATCACTTGGACCGAGAACATGTCTATTTGAATGTTCCGATCCTTTATTCGTCCCACGGTGGGGAAATTTCAGTGTTGCATCACATGTTACAGAACAGCAGGAAAGAGGAGCACACAACACAAGAAGTGAAAACTACTCAATACTTTCACAAAATAAAAACAAATCTTTAGCTTATTAGAGAAAAAAACATACGTGGTTTTATTTTTACAAAGAAAAATGAGACGCACTGCTTCTACACAGTAAAGCTGCCAACCAGAAGGTGGATGAAAACAATTAAAATAAATGGGTCTCAAGGACTTTTAGGTGTTCTGTCTGTACGTTATTTATTATTTTTATCTTTTGTCTTACCTGTTTACTTTAAATTTGTGCAAATCTGCAAGCTTGTGCATTTTGTTTTACTCTTGCATGGTAAGTGGGTTTTTGTCATTACGTTATTGTATGTTTTGTATTGTATGTTTTGTATGCACGTATTGTCATTGTATGTTTGGTGACTGTGTTGTCTGAAATAATAAATAAATAAAAAAAAACAAAACATACAGTATATGGTTTAAACATATAAACTCTAGTGCACAGAAATATAGACTGGTGTGTAAAGATCTATACTCGTTACGCAATATGGCATTCGACTTTAACGTTAGTTCTAGTATTTTTTGAATTTTTTTGAATTACCAAAATAGTTAAGGCATCGTCGCTATCACCTCCTTAAATGAATTGCTACAGATACATTACATTTCATAGAAGGTTCATAGGCTTCCTGTGTCTCAGAGAATAGACTTTAAAACAGCTCTGCTTGTGTACAAGTCTCTCCATGGCCTCGCACCAAAATATATTAGTGACATGTTAGTCCCATATGAACCAGCCCGGACTCTGAGGAGCACAGGGACTGGACTCCTGTTAGTGCCCAGAGTCAGAACTAAACATGGGGAGGCTGCTTTTCAGATTCATGCTGCTAAAATCTGGAACAGTCTTCCTGAAGATGTGAGACAGGCCTCCTCTCTGACAATGTTTAAAACCAGGTTAAAGACAACATGAGGGATTGTATGTTTTTATCTTCCTTTTTAATGTACTGTGATTATTTATGGTTTCAATGCTTTCTTCTTTTGTTCAGCACTTTGAGTTAGCACTTGTGTATGAATTGTGCTATTCAAATAAACCTACCTGCCTTGTCTTAAAGAAATTTTTGAGAAATTGTCAATTCAAATTCAATTCAAGTTCATTTAGTGAACTTAAGCCCCGTTAAATATGAATCAATATGGGCATGATTTCATTCCTTCATTTCACAGCTCAGGCCAGGCTAAATCAGGTAAAAGAGAAAGCACATTTTAGAATCTAGCTTTGGACAAGTCTGGTTAAATAAGGTGGATCAGAAAGGTAGATTTTTACAGTCTTCAGAACCATCAAAAGATAATGCATTTTTTATTATGTTTGAGTCTAAAGTTATGATTCACTTCTTATGAATTTCAAGCATCTTGATCCGTCAGTGCAATGTTTTAATAAGCGCTTTCAGAGCCCATCATGCAGGAATGTTTTTGGTTTCTCAGAACGTTTCACTACATGCAAATCACTTGGTAAAACTTATGAAAGAATTTGCAACTATTGATTTAATCTATTTGAGAATTGAAAAGTTAGCACGTATTTTGTACCGATCAGAATTCTTTGGAGGGTGAAAATAGCTTTATGCAAGGGTACCGAGCCTCAAACGCTGATTCATTCCGTTGTCACCTTTACACCTCAACCTTTTTGCATTGACTTGAATCTCTGCACTACAAAGAACGGAGCGCTCGCCTGGTTTTGTCCCCGTCTCTTTATAGCTGCCAAAACATTTTTCAAAACACAAAACTTTTCATTCCTGTCACACCGGCGTATGCCAAGACGACAGTGAAATGCTGGCTGCCGCCTTGCCTTTTTCTCGACATAAATTTGAGTGTTTTCGCGGATGCAAAGGCTCATATCTGCATTGCTTTCTCCAGTCCGCTGTCTCCTCTGCCTGGGGAGGATTAAAACCATTGCTCGCATTGTCTAATCGCAGAATGCACTGGTGACTTGAAAGAGTGAGTCGCCGCGAAATGTCAAAATGTTTAAAACGTATGAGAGTCCTGTCTTTTCTCTATTCGGAATGTCAAACAAGCAGAAAGAACGCTCATTTTCTCTACACTGCAATGCGCACAAGACTTAATTTACTTCTTGGAAACCTTCTGGCAAACTGAATTACTTAGCTGTTATTTCAATGTTTGCTTTTCCGAAGTATCAAATGAAGCTGGAAGACGCAAAGACGAGATGGCGACGGTTTTTACATAGCACCCTTTATTGTATTTCGTGGGTTGGCGGTAAGAAGGCTGAACCAGATGCAGAATCATCCTATACATTATAACATGATCCCATAACAGGAGAGCTTCAACACGCAAAAACTATGAATAAATATATTCACAACTGCTTCTACTATTGGTAGGAGATGAAAGCATAAAAAGGTACCTCCATAAAAGATAATAGTTGATAGAAGAGTCTTTTTTCATAAGTAAAAGCCTTAATCCGTTCTGGGTTTGTCCTTTCTCTTTTTTCTTCAATTTTCCCCTACCTCAAAATCAATACAATAACCTGCTTGTCATTGTCCACAAAGAAAAGATGGATTGTCAGGGTCAAGATGGCCCCGTTAAGTCTGGCTGATTTAAAAATCCAAAAGGCATCCTTTGTCATGAAGTCCCTCTGTATCTCCTCGGTTTGCACATTTCTAGGGGGAAAAAGTTCTTATCAAACAAATAAAATGAAAATATTCACAACAACCGATAGAATTCCTGTGTGGTCTGAAAGCGTCCCTTATCTAACCCCATGACTGTAACGAATTCAAACCTCAAATCAAGCGAACAGTGTGAGATGAAATAAAGTGATGCGCATACAAAGAGGTCCAATATTGACTGGGGTATTATTCTTATTTTTGGCTCATCCAGGGAATGCAATTATTCGGCTTGCTTTGATTGTTTTCCGTCTCCGATTCCCCTCCGGCGTCCCGTCCGCTCCGTAGTCAAACCTCTGTTTACATAAATAGATCTGTATTTCGTAGAAAAATAAGCATTGACCACACTGCTGGCTGTTCGTTGCTATAAGGCACTTGGCTATTTTCCTTTAGTTGAGTGTTGTACGTCCCCCTTCACGACAATTCTGTGAACGATATCTCAGTTGTGTCCTGGAAGATCTGCAAATTTACCACCGTTATCTCGATTTTAAAAGGTGGAACTGCAAGCATCCTCTTTAATCCAAAGTCTTTCAAATCACGGTTTCAAATTGACAGGTTAAAACTGATAGGAGCGATCCAAAACTTCCATATAGTCCGGCTTGGTCCTCAGTCTGGCCATATGCTCGCTATTGGCCCCTGTGGAGCTGCTAGCTGTTGTCACTACTAGCGACGGCTCACCCCGAGTGTCTTGCACGCTTGAGTCCGGGTGGTGCGGATATCTTGGCGGCGGCCTTGCGTACCCGCCCGGGTTTGGAATCCTGAACAAGCAGTCAACCAGCTCCACTTTGGGTGTGGGTCCTTGACTGTCGATCACGGTCGGACAGAGGATACCATTTCCGTGGAGACCGGCCAGAGCTCCCACAGTTCCCGTCACGGTGCTGATGGGACTTGACGTTGCGCCTTCCACAGACCACTCCTTATCTTTTTCAGAAGTTGTACGGTACGCTCCTTCCGTTTCGCTTGCTTTTTCTTGCTGTATCGTTCTCTGCTTTGCCGCTGGGTCCTGGTCCTCTTTGTAGACGCGATTGGAAGCTTCCGGCGGTAGAATGGTGTCGTAAACGTGACTGTGTTCGGCGGGAAGAGTCGGCGTCTCTGGTATTCCATGGTGGTGATGGTGGTGGTGATGGGACTGCTCTGTGAAAATCCCGCATTCCATTTGAATACCGGCCAGATCCACCTCGCCTTGCCGACGAAACGGAAGCTTGTCCCTGCGTTTCAGCGCGTAAGCCATCAACGCGGCGGCTGCAAAGAACGCCGAGACGAACAAAATCAAGAGGCTGAGGACCAGAACGGACAACGGGATGGAGTCTTTCGTAGAGGGGCTGACTGGACCGGGGACCTCGCTGGGGTATTCCGTGGTGGTACCTCTTTCAGCAACGGTAGTGGGTGTTGCTGGCGATGGTCCGTCTTCCGGTTGGGTGGTGCCTTCGAGTTCTTCCATCTCGGGGCACAGGAGCTCCATGGAAACCGATCGCAGGTCCACACCCTTGGTCTTTGCTGGGGAATGACAGACCACCTCGCCCATCACCACCACGGCGCTCAGTCCCTCCAGCCAGCGCTTCAGTGACGTGGCCCCGCAGTCGCACTCCCATGGGTTCTGCTGCAAATCCACCTAGAGAAAACACAAGGGAAGGACATGTCAGAAGAGGTACTTTTGACAATATTATTATGAAGACAATGTTGAAAAAAGAGTTTTTCAGAGATTAGAAACTTGTTGCTACCAAAGAACAATGTCATAAACATGATTATAGATTCAAAATGAAGATACAAGTGTTGACCCTTTAAGCCAGGGGTGCCCAAAGTTGGACAGATTTTAGTGGCCCCAGGAATTATTCTTAAATTCAAAGCATTGATGGTAAGAAGCTACCCTGGCATGTTCTACCTCATTTTAACTCAATTTAAAGCTCCTCAAGAAAAGGCCCACGTCCAAAAGGTAAAAACAAAGTCTAATCAGTCCAACAATCCTTCTTTGTTGTAAATGTATCTACTGTATGTGCAAGCACTTGGAAACTTTTGTGCGTTATACAGATGAAGTGGACTGGAGAAAATAATATCCAAACTTTTCTTGAATAAAAGTAAACCTTTATCAAAATACCACATAAATAAATGTGTAGAAAAATAATGACCTTCAAAACAAAACGTTTTCTCAAATTATATGTGAAAGAGACACAGACAATTCAAAAGCAATAGAGGCCCGCTAACAGACATAATGAGAAAGAAGATAAAATAAACATTTAGGGAACCTTTTGTGTGAATCTTGATATGACAAATATATTCTCATCTCGTTTGCCGCAATTGATTACGACGGCTTCCCAAAGAGTTCAGTCCGGTGAGAGACATGGCCTAATTGAGTGCCGTGTGCCAGCCTGGAAAGTCCACTTGTCAAAATCTATTTTCCTCCACCACTGATATTTTCCTGATTAGTGATAGAAGTGTTAGTGTTCATTGCGTTAATTGTGAGACCGTGATGATTGTACAACAAACACTTCAAAAAGAAAACTGATTCTCCTGGCATATGTAGTATCCCGCTATAATTTATAAGAGATATTTTTCACTGGGTATAAGAGGCATGAATCATCAGAGTGAAGTGGGGGAGTTGTCCAAATCCGCACTCGAAGCTATTGCACATCAACGCTATAGCCATTGCATTCAAATGAGATCCGTCTATGAAGAAATATACTTGAGCTCAATTACTGCTACTGCTACTGCAACTAATATCACAACAAGTAGTCTACTCTGACAGCATTTATTATGGCCCTTTTCCTCCAAGGTCCTAGTGCCAGTGCTGGTTCTTAGTTCTGAGAGCGGACGGCCCCATAGGGTTTGCTCGAACATGTTATTTGAGCAGCAATGTAGAGCCAAATGTAGGCAAGTTTTGTTGGTAGTAATAAAACCACCAAAAGCACCAAAGAGCAGAATTTAGCCAATGACAGAAGGCTCCTGATTGATTCGTTGTTAGGGAGGCTCATGTCCTACTTGAATGTAAGTCAACAGAAACTATAGAGCGAGCAAAACTTTGTCCATGAGCACTTCGCTATTGGGCTTCATTGAGCTAGCAGGTTAGAAATGTCCATCTATAGTGGCTTTGTTACATCCTCTCTTGTTCTTGTTATGTTCAATGTTGTGACGTTACTGTGTCTGCCTGTTTATATTGGTCCATAGGGGGTTAGGTCTATGGTTCTGTGCTGATTCTGTTTGGTAGCAGGTCCAGTTCTGTTACCATAGCAACACACTCTTCACTAGCAGCTGATAACGCTTATTAGCTTTTTTTGATGATTTCAGGTAAGACCAACTTTATTTATTTCAGCCCAGTGCTTGAGGTTATGTATAATGTGTAGTGTCTCTCCAGAAAGGGTTCACATATCTGGTCCTGGTCTGAACTTATGCTAGGGTAACATCAAAATAAAACAAAAGAAAAGGTTTTGGGAAATTGGACCAGCACCAGTTTAGTGGAAAAAGGGGAAAATAGGATCTATTTGTGCCTTCATTTCATCAATATTTACAAATATCAAAAGGAGTGACATGTTGTGTATAAAACTATACTATTCTTTGATCATGATTTGCCATTTTGTTCGCTATATTCTGCAAAGTCGTAGATCTAAAATAGATTAAAGGCACAGGTTCATCAACTTTGTTTTTATGACTGCAGATCTGATAAGCCTCATCTCCATAGCCAACCATTTCATCATCGCCAACAGCAGATTTCCATTGAACCTGAGTCAGAATTTAGTAAACGATTAAGCGCAGAATACTGTAAGTACTGGGAAAGGTAGTGGGTGAATCAAAAACAATTTCAGCTAAGAAGCCTCAAAAACATCGCAACAAAAACAGGATTATTCAAACATGGAGAAATCAATCAGAAATATAGACCGTGTGGAGAGTCATGTCACTAGTTTAGCCTGTACATACACACCCTTTATATTACAATGTACAAGTAACTCATCTCTTTTTAATAGGTACACGACGCAACAAGAAATAGGCTTGAACACATCAGACAGTAATATATCCTGGAATATCATATGGGGAGGAAAAGATGAAAGAAATGATGATATATGTGACCAGCAAACTTATATATATAATGTTCATTCCCAGCTGTTTAAAAATACACAAACTCCAATGTATGTACTGGGAACTTGATTTAGAAGAACGTTTATCAAGTCGAGTAAAGTTCTCGCCATGTAAATGCCTCTCCAGTCATCAACCAAGCATTCTGCCCCCAACATCTGCCCATGCACACTTCCTTTGACGAGACAGCTGGCCACTTCAGTCAACAACCATCTCCCACCAACCACTTTCAAAAAGAGTATGACATTTCGGACAAATCTAAATTCTCTGACATGTTTTTAGAACTGCACGGAAGCAACAGAACTAGATTTTAATCGAATGAAAGTAATTGCTGCATGGGTGAGTATTGTGTAAGACTTCCCAACCAGGTGGATACTGATGCCCTAGGGATACGCAAGGGTATTACAGGTACTGGTGATAGGGCTACTATGGCATGTTGCATATACATTTAACGGTAACTTTTCTTAAAGAAAAAAACATGGTATTCTAAACATCGAACCCAGAACACAATTGCTAAGAATAATTGGTCAAGTAAGTATACCATGAAAATTCTTTCTTACTTTTGGTCCAATTTTGGTTCAATCCAAGTTAAGTCAGGTTAAACAAAAACAATCGGTCAAAATACCTAAATAATGCCATCCATCCATCCATTTTCTTCCCCTTAATCCATTTCTGGGTCGGGGGTGGCAGCTAGAGCTGCACCCAGTACACAGAGCACCAGCCCCTCACTGATCCTCCTGCAGGTGGTGAGTCCACAGTACAATTTAAATCCTTTAACGAGGATCCATTGGAGGGCAAGTCTGGTGCCAGCAGCCGCGGTAATTCCAGCTCCAATAACGTATCTTAAAGTTGCTGCAGTTAAAAAGCTTGTAGTTGGATCTCGGGATCGAGCTGACGGTCCGCCGCGAGGCGAGCCACCGTCTGTCCCAGCCCCTGCCTCTCGGCGCCCCCTCGATGCTCTTAGCTGAGTGTCCCGCGGGGTCCGAAGCGTTTACTTTGAAAAATTAGAGTTTACTAAATAATGATGACCAATAAAATTGAAAGCCTGAAAGCCCCTGACCTAATGCGTTGGGTGCATTGCATTGCATTGCTTAATTCATTATGCAACATTTTCAATGGGGGGAACTTGTGCCGTGTCTATGCTGGAGGTAAGATAAGGCAAGTTTATTTGTATAGCACGGTTCATACACAAGGCAACTCAAAGTGTTGAACAAAACAAGATTAAAACAATACAAGGCATTAAATGTCAATGGCAGCTTTTTTGTACAGCACATTTACAACAATGACAACAGCTGCCCAAAGTGCTTCACAGGCACGAAAGATAAAAAATAAAAGCAAACAGCATAAAATACATGTAAAAAGTAAAACTGTGTTGGTGTTCAAAGCCAAGGTGTATTCTAATCATAATTAATTACAGTATATTAAAAATAGTGAAGATAATCCCTGTTGAACTGATTTCAACCTGGATTTGAAAATTGTCAGAGTCGAAGCCCGTCTCACAAATTTCAGGACTGTTCCAGATTTTAGCTGCATGAATCTGAAACGCAGCCTCCCCATGTTCAGTCCTGACTCTGGGCACCAGCAGAAGACCAGTCCCTGTGCTCCTCAGAGTCCGAGTCGGCTCATGTGGCACAAACATGTCTCAGATGTACTTATACACAGGAGTAGAGAGACGGAAAACCGCTGGTGTAAGAAAAGAACAGTCTTAGTTGTGTCCTCACTCATGATACAAAGTCTGCCTGGGGACAGTCCCTCTCTGTGTTCTTTTGGATTGATTGGAGAGCGGTTCGTAGAAAGCAGAGGAGTGATATAGATTTTGCATTAGGAGGTAGTCAGCAGCCGTACTCCTCTGCAGATGAGACGTGGCCGTGCACAGGGATTAGAATGTGTTAAATCTGGGAGCGCCTCATCAGCACCGCCGCAGATATTCGGATGATTTGAGGATATTTTTGCATAGTGCTGATCGTCTCTTTCCTCAACTCCAGTTCAGATGTAATGATGTCCGGGGCAGTTAGTAATCCTTTAGTAAGATTGTAGGAAGGGGAAGAACGTGCAAAGAATCTTATCGTTTCTAAATTTAGAACGACATCGTGTCAGTCGTTGTCTGTAATAATAGACATATTCTCACACATACACACACACACTTACATTATACCTATACACACAAACCACACACACACACAAGCACAAACCCACACACATACACACACCCACACACACACTCATACCTATACACACAAACCACACACACACACAAGCGCAAACCCATACACACACATACACGCACACATCCACACACACATGAACGCACACAAGCACAAACCCATACACACACGTGCACAACCCCACACACACGCACAAGCCCAGACCCATACACACACATGCACACATATAAACACACACAGACAAACAAAAAAACACAAACTCACACACACAATGGAAAAGTATTAATGTTTTACTTTTATTTATGAAAAGAAACATAATTTGTAAGTTTTCCACTCTAATGAGTAGTTTCTAACAATGTAGGAACCTCTTTGTTTCTATTTTTGTTCTTGTCATGTTCTCTTTTTCACATTAAGACCTACAGAGCAACGTGTAGTTCTTATGAAGCCTTTTTAAAAAAAAATGATTTATTCCTCATTAGATTAATTTCCTTTTGCATCCAGACAAACCAGAATAATATGAATCAATCTAATTAGAATATTAATTATTGACTTTTTAACAATTATATATTCTTGAGCAAGTAAAAAATTATCAAACTCTTCATTAAAGTGTGTCAAGTGGAAATGTTATTGTTTTATTCCCCACTTTTTAGTCTGACATTTACATTACTCCAGCGCCTGTTCTCTTTCGCCCATAACTCACTGTGGACTAGAGTAAAAAACAGAGCATTTCAATTTGACATACATTGATCTAAAATACAGATCTTTGAGTGATGTTTTATTCATACAAGCTTTTAAACTTTTGCTCTTTTTGGCAGCGGTGTGTCTGGGAGCCGCAACAGTTCTGCGTACGTGGCCTACAGGTCCTCGTTCTACAACCTGAGTCCTGGATCTATAGCCAATCCGTTTGTAGGAGCCGATCCCTCCCTCAATATGGGACTCCCTGACATTTCTCACTCCCCTTCCCCCCAATTTTTTGTATTTTATTTGTTCCTTTACTGATGCAGAAGGGTCTAAGGACAATAGTAATGATCCAGGACATTCAACAACATTTATGGACACTTGTAATCTGCCCCTTATGGACCAATATGTTTTTATTATTGCATTTCTGGTGCTATTTGAATCTCTGATCTGTGTTGGCGAATCGACAACCCTGTAAAGTCCTCCGAGAGAACATCTGTTGTGATTTAGGGCTGTATCATGGCCAAACTGAATTGAATTATCTTATCTCTCACATTTGCACAACATAAAACATGGTCTCAGTACAAGCATTTTGACTTACTCTTACACAGAAACGGCAAACTAACCCCTTGTACATAATGGAAATACAGAGGGCAAAGCCTACTTGAATAAAAGCATGAAACAAATCACGTAGCCTGGCCAGTGCTTACAAATTAAATCCAAATCAGTGCCCTCTTTTTACAGCGGCAAGCTAAATCAGCCCTTGACATTTCGCATGTTGTATACAGCGGTGACTCCTAATGCCGCGCGGCGCTCCTAGGCATATTTAGTGACTAGGAAATGTTTACCCCGTCCCCTGTCAGCTCCTGATTAAACTTTTATCGCGCTGTCAATTTGATCTTTTTAAATGCAGCCTGGGTAGTCATTAACCCCTATTGACCAGACCAGACCTTCCAAATCAAAATCTCTTTACTAAAATTATTGAAGAAGCAGCTCCAGCTATATTATAGATTATCTTTAAAAGTAGCCGAGAGCGCAGAAGGGATTAGCTCAGTCCAGCGGAAGACTGAAGGAGGCGAGAGTCTGCAGTAATAGTTTGGTGTTTCTCCTGGTGATAATGTTGGCTCGGATTTTCACTTTAGACAAGGCGCTATTTCATTACATTCTAAGAGGTGGAGTAAGTCATTTTAGCATATCCTAGTAACGGGGGAAATTATTTCATGATGTCATAAGCGGTCCAGCCTCTGAGAAAGAAGGTCGTCGGTTTAATTCCCGTGCAGGTCTGCGCCTTTCTGTGGAGAGTTTGCATGTTTCTCCATGTGTCTGGTTGGGTTTCCTCTGGGCGCTCCGGTTTCTCCCAACCTTCAAAACATGCATCAAAAGTGGAAGCCTCCTGCGAAGAAATCGAGACTTTATAGAGTGCTGCACTGTGACCTGAGTGGCGATGCAGGATGGGTCAAATGTAGGGGTCAAATGCTACTACTGAGTGAAGCTAATCCCGGGAAATGCCCATATAAGGAAATTGGCCAAGAAATTTACAAATCTGATTCTATAAACACTATAGGTGACATCAGCACTGGGTTAATCCACTTATATACAGTCTATGGTAAACACATTTGACCCGAGATTAAACCACGGCAGCCATTTTGATCCATTTGTCATTCTACTGTATTTACTTCGAAAAGACATAACTACTACACTTCATACATCATAATGTTTTACTTATTCTATTTGTATACATATAAAGCTGGCAAACCATTTTACTTAGATGTGTTACTTTTATCTCTGTGCAGCACTTTGGAAACTTGTTTTATAAAGTGTGCTATACAGATAAAGTGGATTGGATTGAACGTTTGTAATCATATCATTGGATACACACAATGCTCAAATTGGGCTAGAAATGTGTAATTATTTATCACAACCTGACTAAATCTTCCTTATTCGTCACCAATTCTAAGCGCTACTCCATCCCTCCATACTGCCACAGTGGCTGTTCTTGTTCATATATATTTTCTTGCAATATTGTTGAACCAACCAACCCATAAAACCATTATTTGAACATCATCTACAGCAAAAAAAAAAAATGTATACGTGTCAAAACTTCAATCCAGGCGCTGCTCATCCTCAGATGTAGCTACACCAAAACAATGAGAATCCGGTGGAGTGCGTCTGCCTCCGTCTCAGTGTTTACCCTCTCTATTACATATGGACGCCTTCAGTCAATGGGAGTGCCACGTGGGGCTTCAATCATATGGAAATAGACGTGTCCGATTCAATACCCGACTCCCACGAGGGCCCTCCACCGCCAGTGCTACAGCATCTGACAATACGCCGCTCATTCAGCCTGTGCGCCGGAAAAAACTCACAGGAAACACCATTCACGTTTTTGAACTAATACTGGAAAGCATTGTGCACTTTTGGACTGATATACAGGGCTTAGAATGTACCCCTCTATACAGTAAGCATTGCTGGTTAAATTGTGCTTAAGTGAAAGTGAAGAGACTTGGTAACTGTGTGCTCTTGGTGAAAACGAGGTCTTGAATGAATGAATGAATGAATGAAGTTTGTTTCAGTACAATTGTATACATAGTTGCAGAGCAGTGAATTTACAACAAAAAGAAGCCGTAGGATGAAGCTAATGTTATTTTTTTTACAAGTGCAATTATAAGTGAGTGTGTACAATAGGATTTACATAAGAAACTGTACAAACATTGGGATTATGCGTTCCCGTAACATCCCTAATGACAGTTTTAAACTTCTTTTTAAAGTGGAAAAGTGATGTACATGATTCAGTTCATCCGTGCATCCAATCCAGAAATCAACCCCTCGAACAGATAAACAGCCTTTCATTACATTAGTTCTACACAGTTTTAAGTCTTAACGAAACTAGAAACGTTGTGGGCGCTCATAAACAATGTGAGTCACACAATGTTTAAAAGGCCTCTGTTTACAAGGCCAAAGCCACAGACTGTCTTCATTGGGGCTTCACACTTAGATAAATTGACATAAAGAAATATTATTCATTATTATGTCCATTGGCCCCAAACATTTGTTTTGGCGTTGTGTGTTACAACGTTAAATTATTAAAAAAAACTGAAAGTAGATAATTGATAAACTTGTATAATGGATAAAGAAAGGAGCTTGAGTGTTGAAACATCACCATCTAGTGGTATTTATTAAATATTTATTTTATTGTTTGTTTGGTTGGAACAGTGCATGTTAATGAACACACCTGTCCGGATTGTAGGCTTGGGCTAATTTGCATCCGTTCTTTCACAGTCACAAACACAAACACACACTCATTCCCCCTGAAGTATCGCTTTTTAGTGGTAGGGGAAACTGGGGCACCCGGAGGAAACCTACAAAGACACACGGGGAACATGCAAACTCCACTCAGAAAGGCCCTGTTGTGATTGGGATTTGAATCTAGAACCTTCTTGCTGAAAAGTGGTAGGAGCGGGATATTACATTATTCTAAATTGTAAAAGAGGGACCCTAAAACTGCAACATTAGTGGTTCAGTCCGTCTGATAAACGGCAAAAAACAAAACAAAATTGTTTCTGTTTCTTTTGAAGCGAAGTCTAATCATGTCTACAAGATTTAAAACGTTGTCGTAGCTTGTATAAGTGGAAGTCTGGATGTCTCTGCTTTGACTTCTTGTCCCGTGACCCGGCAATGGCCAAAGCAGAAGAAAATGGATCTCTGCAGGTCTGATCTTGATGCATGCCACAAGTCTAAAGCTCAGCAAGAGCCAGCCCGGTTAGTAATTGGATGGGAGGCTGCTGTAATAACAATGTGGCATCTGTACCTACGCAGTACAAACAGCTGTTGTGTCCTTAGGCAAGGCACTTATGAATGCTAAGTATGAATCTGGAGAGTGAGTTGGTGGCTGCTGTGAAGACAAAGTGGGGGGATTTTAATGTTTAACAAATGATTTAAGGGACTCTGCTTCATGGCGCAAAGGTACTTGGGAATGTTTGTTCATTAGAATGTATTAGAGACACTTCACATTCACATTAATTAGAATGTAAAGTGACTGTTTCTTTGTGATGTTGGATGGAGCAGTGTCCTTTCTTTGCCTTTCTACCTTTAATCCCACACTTACTGTAAGTCCCCTCCTTCTGCCCCCCTCCCTGTAGGTGCTTAAAAATACTAAGGTGAAGCTGGGTAGGACTCTCTCTGTGGAGGAGAGAGGGGTGTTTATGTAGTGTCATTTTCACTTCAATGAAACCACACACGGATCATTACACACATTTCCACGACACTACAGATGCCACAGATCTGATAAAGCTGTAAAAAAAATGATCGCGTGTGAATTTGACGAGGTACAGTAAAACGTTACAATACCACCGTGACAACAGAGCACTGTCTGGGACATACTGTATGGGACTCATGGGTCTGCTCTGAAATAAATTTGAATAATTCGTTATTATGTATGCACGGTTCAAATGTCACTCAATACGAACACAAAGGCCATTTGCAGTAAAACCGCATTGGAAAAACTGTGCAAGACTACCCCAGACAGGAGAGAGAAGACGCACACACCAAAGCTCTTGCCACGGGGCCATTTTTCTTGCGCCTTTCAAATAAATAATACTCAATACAAATGCCGGTTTAAAAATCTCCCCAAAAATATAGTATGATAATAATTTATATGTTTTCACGCCTTTTAAAGAAATGATTATTACCAAAAAATAACTTGCGCTTTTGTGTAGGTGTGTGTGTGTGTGTGCATGTGTGTGTGTGTGATTGTGTGTGTGTGGGAAGGGGCTGCGTGCTTTGTGTGCATATGTTTGTTTGACCTGTATAATTGAATGTGAGGATGCATCAAATTGTGCATGCGAAGACTTGATCTTTTGTGTATTTTGGCCAAATGTAAACTGTATATCCATGTATGTTTATTATTTTAATGTTGTATCAGAACATCAGCCTGCGCAGGGATCACAGGTACAAATTATCTCTTGACCCGGAACAATGCATCTTTCCTTTTGAGGTGAATGTTTATTGCACACTATCCCTGTCACTTTAAATACATAAACGACACTGCAAAATGATCAAATATAAGGTAACAAAAATGCAAAATCAAGTCTGTATCTGAATTTGAGTATTTTAAGAGTTACCAATGGAACAAGCAGAAAATATCTTAATATATAAAAAAATTCAAGAAATGTCTTCCTTGGAATGAGAAATTATTTGCAACAGCACTTGAAATGAGACTAAACGGCTTGTTCCAGTATATTCATAATAACCTCAAATTAAGATACTTGATACTTGATTCAAGCATTTATCACCTTGTATTTTATAGTTTCTTACAGTGCGGGCAGATCGATGTTCTGACACACTAATAACAAACATACATGGATATATAAAGTTTACATTTGGACAAAAATATGCAAAAGATCAAGTCTCCACATGCACAATTTGTTACAGCCTCAAAGTCATATCACTCAATTACACAGGTCAAACACACACACAAAGCACACACAAAATCTAAACAAAACTTCAATTTCTCCCAAAACTTTGCAATCATAAGCCGCAGAACTCAAAATGCACATCCTTTAGACAGCAAAGTGGCTGAAGCAGATCACATGACTTTTGGTGGCTATTGTCAGAACAGCTTTTCTGACTCACTGTTTTAGCCTTGTTAGCGGCGGAGCACTTCCAGCACTGAGTTCGCCAACATCTTCTCATGCTAATTTAATTCATGCACTTTTTGAAATGACACGAAGCCGCGTGCGTTCTTCTTTTCTTCTTTGGTAATACATTAAATGATTCACTCAAAAAAAAAAAAAAAATGGATGGGTGAATTCAACGCGGACAAGAGGGAGGTTGTAAAATGCAAAGCAGGTGATTATACGTAAGCTGACAGCGCGTGGGTGGGTGGGTGGGTGGGGGGGTTAGGGGCGCCATGTTTAGTCACGCTTTACGCACCAAAAACAGCTAAAGTTAACAAGCAGAAAATTACAACACGCTTTTACTGTATACTTATTATGTGTATAGATGTGTCTACTGTAAGTGCCATCACTGAGCGAGGGGTCAAATATGTCAAAACTGGCAATTCTCAAACCACATTTTTGTTCCACATTTCTGTTCTTGGCAGAAAAGTGGGAATGGAATCCGTTTGATAGACACTTCTCGCCCCCATTTTCATGCAAAAGATCAGAATTTACAATATTGGATGTCATAGCCATAACAATGTAGAGAAAAGAAAAGTATTGGAGCAGCCTTTTCTTCTATTTTAAAACCACATGGATGTAACTTAAAACCTTGTTAAAGTATGCTGTTTTTACTAAAGGAATGGATGTCTCTGGATTTGGAAAAAGTCGTCATTTCTTTCTCCATCTCCCTGACGTTTGTGTTCTATGAGTACATGTCCGGCCCTGGTCCAAGTCTGGTCCGATGTCTAACCGAACAACCCTGAGCCCAACCTAATAACACTATAGTTGTCACGCTTCAAGTGAAATGAACCCAAAATGCAGGACTGCAAAATAAGAGATTTAATAAAAGCAAATAAAGGGCAAAGAAAAAGAGACTACAAGAGATGTGGCATTGATTATGACAGAATGGGGAGTGAAGGACGGGACAGGGTTTAAATACAGAATGACTCACGGGACACATGAGGACAGGTCAGCTACTCATAACCGGAAGTAGAACTCATAGGAAGACACTGGGGCTAACAAATTACAAAATAAAACAGGAACTAATGACCATGACCAATAATATATATGGTACCATGAGCTTGGTATGGAAAACATGAGGCTAGCAAAGGGTAGGGTGTTTTGGGTGTGTTTTATGGATTTTATACATGCTTTTTGTTTTACCGAACACTTAAAACCTCCCTTGTGAAGAAAGACCATCCATCACTTTAAAAAAATGATAAAATACTTGGTAATAATTGCTTGGATCAAGTGGTTCTTATCTTAATTTGAGAATATTCTGACTGTCTTAAAATACATTGCCAATGGGACAAGCTGCTTGGTATTATTTTGAGAACAGTTGAATTTTTTTTTTCACATTCCAAGGGAGATCGTTTTGTATATTTTGAAAACAAGATAATTCTGCTTGTCCCATTGACAAATCCTGTTTTTCAGTCCACAGTGCCTCAAATTAAGATAAGTTTTGCCAAATTTGAGCACATTATGACTTATTTTTCATTACTTTTTGCAGTGATGTGAGTGTTGGACCATTACGGGGCTACAGAAAGTGCACCTGTGCTTTAGGGTGATAAAGAAGAAAAAGAACAGAGAGGAGCAGGACAGAGGAACTGGCAAAGACGTAGGGAGGGAACGGATGGAGAGCTATGGTCCAGAGAGCTCAGGCTTGATGAGGAGCCCAATGT